ATTTAATGTGCCCCATTTTAAAATGATACATTCGATGTCTAAAAATATCCACAAAAAAGGCTTCGGCGCAGCATGTATATGACTCATCTTTTTTGTGGGACGGCAGGATACGATGGATATTCTCAACAAAGTATAATAGCCAGACTGAATTTCTGTTTATGGAAGAAGCCCAGCCTTTGACTTAACCTGGGAGAAAAAAAACAACAGAAACTGTGACTGATGCAACCTGAGGGGGACTTCAATTACTTCAACGCCTCTTACGCTATTATGCTGCTGGTAATCTAACTGCATGTAACCGCACATAAAGGAGATCATATGACAGCTTTGCGGGTGCCAAATTAGAATATGTTTAGGGATTTCTAACCCACACACTGTATGCTTATTAAATGGGCTTTACTTACCGTGAAAATGCTGAAGGTATTCTTAAAAAATTAAAACACAAAATGCTTTAAACCATAAATAAACCTGAGGAGGACTGCTTAAGAAAACAGGGCAGCCTTAGTTATGCAACATTCATAGAGTCTGACTATCTGAAAAGGTAAAAGGCGTGCGGATGTGTGGCTGGTTCCCTGCATCCAGCAGGATTGCAGCTTTAGCATTAGAACTGGATGCTAATCTTCTGTAGAATTCAGCGCTGCTGTTGCTGTTGCCACCTGGTCCCTGGCACAGCAGCACCTTTACTGTAAGCTCCTCTTCGGACCATACAAAATGGGCTTATAGCACATGCAAACACACTTTATTCTTTGTCATGAAAAGAGACTTTCCTCACATTCTCTGGCCTTTTTCTTTTCTAAATCCAGTGAGCTTGTTGCTGCGATCAGTAAACAAGTGAGGATGCCAACTCCTCACTGTTCAACCCACAGATTAGCTTGTGTTGTGAAAAAGCCATATGAAGTGAGTTATGCTGGGAAATAAAATATTGCCCCTGAAGTTAGCAAACTGTAGGTCAGTTTTGATCACTTCCTCTGGCGATTCATGGGTGATGATGATAAACAGGATTAAGGCTTGAAAAGATTAGAGTTCCTCACAAGTTGGAGCATCGCCATCGGCACAGCAAAGTGTGGTACGTTTATTTTCAATAGCGGGCCTGAGGAATTTAGAAATCTAATGTCCTCCTGCTGCTTAACCCCCTGCTTTTGGTTATTTTTGACTACAGTTACTGAAATAAAATCAGTTAAAATTACAAATGAAAGTGATTTCTTGCAAACACAAACAAATTAAACCTGAATGATATTTTCCCCTAATGCTGAGCCTGTTGTAAAAGGTGCATACAAGACCAATTCATTAGGTTTAAATAATAGACCTCCTTTCAAAGTGGTTTTACCACTTTTAGGACTGAGTAAAACATCCTTTGATTTTTAACATTTGTAAATGTAAACCACTGGTTTACATTTGGTAGTGGCGTCAAAAGTACACACATTTGTTACTTAAGTAGAAGTATAGATACTGCAGTTTAAAAACCCTCTGGTGAAAGTATCAACTTGACCTCTTTACTGAAGTAAAAGTGAAAAAGTATGTGCTCCAAAAACTACTTAAAGTATAAAAGTATAAAGTAACCTTTTAAAAAAATCAAACCAGATGCCACTGTATGAATTGAAAACTCAATTTTACGACTATTTTGAAAAATTCTTAGAGATAGGGCCAAGGAAGAGGGAAGTCTTGTTGGTCTCCATCTCCCGATACGCTCTGGCCTGTGTCCGACCTTTCAGACATTTCAACATCTTTTTCTGAATCCTACATTGTAGCATGGCATAGACAATTCATGTTTGCAGTTTGAAGAATACCTGCTGCTTCTGATGATTTCCTTTAGCTAACCAATGAGTGTTTGCGTTATATGACTCATCTAATTACTCTAGTTTTCACTAGATGTGGATGGAGCCAATGATCTGCATTGGATGGCGCACATGACGTGAAATAAATATTTATAAACATAAAACCGAAGCCAAGAGTAACGAGTAATGTTTGTTTTAAAAATGTAAGGAATAGAAAGTACAGATACTTGTGTAAAAATGTAATGAGTAGAAGTCAGAAGTAGGAAGAAAAATAAGCAATGGAGTAAAGTATAGATACCTAATGAAGTAACAAAGTATTTGTACTTCGTTACTTGATACCTCTGACATTTGTAAATGTAAACCAGTGGGTTTAAAAGAACAGCACACAGGTAAACTGGGATGCTATAATTGGTAGGTTATTGGTGTGGTTTTAACTTTTCTAGCCCCCCTAAATCAGATTCTACTTAGGTCTCCATATAAATTTCCGCCAGTTCATTTTGCATTGATTGTTCTACTTAGTGAAAATATAAACATGCATCATATGTTACAAGAGTCTGGAAACAAGAAAAAAACCCCAACACATTATGAAATGTAAAGGAAAAACAGTTTGACGCAACAAAGAGAAAAGTGTCTAATTTCCCCTTTTGAAGAAATGTGACTCGGGAGAAGGAAGAGTGCTTCCTGTCAGTTCCTGTAAATGTACTTTGTCGAGCCAAGACATAATAATATTTTAATGCATTTTGACCTTTGACCCCCAGGTGCTTACACCAGTGGCCCCTCCTCACCATCAGTGAATCTTTTTTATTGCAGCTTCATGGACTTCAGATGTCACCGCTGGCTGCAGCAAGAAGCGTTCAGGAAGGCTTGTAATCTCTCCAGCAGACGGTGGGTGTGTTTGGTGGCGGAACCAAACACGTGATAGCAGCCTTATGATAGGTCTGATCATTTTAAACGAAGGCGGGACCATTTGAGTTTATGGCTATATGTTATGTCAATCTTTTTCGATTATGCTGCTTTCACTGACCTTTCTATAGTATTTAAAATAGTTAAAGGAAGCACTGTTTGAAACGCTCCTGCAAATGCACTCTGTTAAAGGTACATTTCTTTATACATATGTTTCAACCGGATGTTTAGTTTGAGGTGTTAATCCTTTTGCTTTTCCATCTTTATTTATTAAATAATTAAATGACTCAATGTTGTTGTTGACTGATCATTTTCATTTCTTTGGTAGGACTTTTTTTTTTAAAGTAAAATTAATTATTTTCTACAATTCAGTCACATTTTTCTGATCTATGTTGAAAATAAACACAAAGGTAATTAAGATATCAAATCTAATATATTTCCAAAACAAAACAATGGAAGAATTGTTATCTGATATCATTTTAGGCAGCAGTATTAATCACAATATTAGTAAACTCTTCTAATCAGAATCAAACATATTTTTTTTGGGTAATTTGTTTTTACTGCAGTGTGCTGCAGTTATAAGAGCCAGCCCAAAGCATAAACAAACTAAAATGCAAATGAGTGACCATGTCAATTTGGCTAATGAGACTTTTTCCTGAGTATAACAGTTTGCCATTTTTATAGCATTGAATCCTATTTGTTTTTATATTCCATCTGTTCATTATATATTGCTATATAAATATATATTTTACATATTTAGCTACTTGGACAGTAAACATTTAACAATATAAATACAATTAAAATACAACAGATTACAAAAATGACTGTACAAATCTCCATTAAAGATGAACTTTAAATGTTTTATAAGTAAATAGATGAACATGGATGTTGTGGTGATTGATGGTGCTTCGAGGGACCTCTGAAATAAATTAGGTTTGGGGCCCAGGCATGGACAGTTTTAGACGGGGGCCAACAAGTTCCAGTGCCACTGTAGAACTGGTCCCGACCCTTGTAGTAAAGACATAACACTAAATAAATATATGATGAATAATGGTATGTGCTGGTAAAGATAGCAGTTTTAATTTTTATAGTTTTAATATAATAATGAGAGATGAATCAAGTTGTTGTCATTTTAGCTTAAATCCTATTGAGATATGATCACGGCTTGCATCTACTATATGGCTTTTGGTTCAGTTCATATTTCAAACATTGAACCATCACCCCCTGAACTCATACATTTAATCTTGAACCCAGAACTCATTGAACTGCTCTTGGCAGTGTTAAGGATAGGCTCTGTCTCTGCACCTTGACGTTCTATCTCTCCGGTTCTTTCCCTGAAAAGAGATCACTCAGGACAAACTCTTTAAATAACATTTCATATGCATTAAATAACCAGGAGACATAACAACAGATTCTGATAGAAATTTTAATCTTACTCAGATCACAGAAGTTACTTAGTTTCCAGAAGGCAGCCGCTCTCCTCCGGGCTCACCTCTCAGGAAGTGGCCCCGATTAACAGTTAAAAAGGCATTTTATACATCGCATTTTATACAGATTATAATTATATATCCAGACAGAGGAACTGTCTTAATTAGATTAACTATTGTGGAAAACATCAGTTCTGACACACAACAGGCAACTAATATTAAGATCACACATCATCAATAATAATTATCCTAACAGAGAAGGATTTAATCACATAATTTTGCTAAAGCATGCCATTGGTAGAGTTGTAGGCAGCCAATAAGCTGAAAGTATATTTTTGAGAGTCTGGCTGCAGAAATATTACTACCTAATCTGATTTAGGTTTCAAGAAACCACATTTAAGCATATGCTTTAGCAAAATGATGTGATCCTTCTGTGTTAGGATAATTATCATCGATGATGTGTGAGTTTATTACACCTTGGTATTGGCTACCTCTTGTGTGTCAGAACTGATGACAAAAATATTATATCATGCACATAAATAAATATCTAAAAAAAAAAGTAATAAATACATAAAGTTGAAGATTATAATGGACAATAAATAAATAAGGTAATTATTACAAAGGCGAATAAATAAATAAGCTAATTAAAAGAGATATATACATTTATGTCTCACTGTATAATTTAATTTCTACCTACAATTATTTGTTTATTGTATTTTGGGGGGGGGGGGATTAATTGTATGCTTATTTATTTATTGAGCATTTATTTATTTATTTTTTTAATTATGGCAGAGTTGGTCCTCCATATGAGCGAAAGTAAATAAATCTATTGGAAGGTAATGATTTGGTAGAGGCCATCCCACATTTCCGACAGCCCTTAAACGCATCGCCACCCCCCTCCGGTGCGCTCATTCAGCTCGATCACCCAGAGCTGCGCTGTGGCTGCAGAAAGGCGCACATATGCTGACACTTTAAACAGGATGTAGCGACTGAAGCAGACCACGGAAAGAGAGACAGAAGAAGAAGCAAAAAAAAAAAAAAAGCGGATGAATTAATGTAATGTGACAAACAGCAGACTGACAGAAATGACCGCTTCAGTGGAGGAGAGGAAGAAGACAAGAGGAGTCCCGGTGAGGAGGCGCCTCACCGCCGCTGGCAGGTCTTGACGCCCGGTGACCTGAAGGAGCCAAGCCGCCGCAGTGAGCAGCAGCACGGCGATAAAAAGCACGGACGGCAAAACCGGAACAGTCCAAAACAACCTTGAGAGCGAGCATGGCGAGCCTGAACGACTGCTGCGTGAAGGTTGCGTTGAGGTAAGCCTCCGCCGTCTGTGCGCTGCTGGGAATCTGCAGAGTTTAGCAGACCACATTGTGTCTGCGCCGCCGGTTCACTCCAAATTCATCATTTCCATCCCCTAAACGCACCTGCATGTTTCAGCTGAGCGGAAGATTACCCAGACATCCATATGTTGCTTTGCCTCACATGGGTGGTGCTCCTCACTTTATTGATAAGGGGAAACGTGTCTGTGTCATGCGATCTTTATAGGACTGATTTCGGTGTGCAAACCCCAAAGTTCCTCTAAGCGTTGGTCAGATGGCAGGGGAAACTGGAGGTTGCATTTAGGTTTGGACACTGGCTGAAGTGAGGAGAAAGGACAGCTGCAGCCAGGTGCAGAGAGGACAATGGGCGTTTCTACTCACACCGGTTATAGTTGAATCATCTCTACAGACCTCTGCCCTGCATTTTCACCTTGCATCCAGTCAGCCTGCACATGTGCATGGCAGTCTGTGCTTATTTCAGGCATGGTGATAAAGTGAAGACTGCTTTCACACTGCTTGGCTTTAGCACAAAGAGATGCTCACCCAAACCTGTGCCATCCCCCTATTGTGTGGAAAATCCAAGTATTTAAGCTTCCTTTCTATTTTATTACAATGGATGATTAAAATGATTGCATATTTAAATACGATCATATTAATGTTCCTTTATGTCTTGGCCCTTGCAGGATAGAAGCATCTGAAATTGGCAGGCAGGATCCACTTCTGGCTTTGTCTGTTCTTTGTAATCCGGCTCTTTTAAGAACAATCTGCTGATATGACAGACTGCAGTCCTTTTAACTTTGACTCACCTGTTTTGCATTCTTAATTCTAATTTAAACAGAGGCTTGTGTTTTGGGGGGGTTGAAACACACCAGACAATGTAAAGTCACTACATGGGTTTCTGACATGCCATGTGTCTCATTAGTGCTGGCTGACTAAACAGCCGTGTTTTGTACTCCCTATGTTCTCCCTGATTTGATCAGAGAGCTGGTTCTGGGTGAAGGATGGAGCAGCCATTGGTTTGTCGGGTACTAAAACCTTGTCCACTGTAGCACTTGATTGTCCCTGTACCATCGATATGTTTACACGAAGGGATCCACATGCAAGCCTGCCTGTTTTTGACCCCCTGTTGTCATAGTAAATCTTGTATGCCTCACAAATATCGTTGATTCAGAGGAATGTAAGGCTGTCGCTCAGTTCCCATGTTGGCCGGTAAGGTAACCTATTGTTGCTTCTCAGACCACACCAGTTTTGCTTATTTTCTAGCTTGTAAACTCTTTAAAGCATCTTTTTTGTTTGTTTATTTTTTACAGTTTGTAATATTCGTGTGATAATTGCATGACTGATGCAGAGCAAAATGTGTTTCTGTAAAATGCAATATGCAGAGAAAATATATTTTTTTTATGTTTTAGGTTCTGTTTCTTTCTGCGTGGAATTTGCATGTTCTCCCTGTGCATGTGTGGGTTCTCTCCGGGTACTCCGACTTTCTCCCACAGCCCAAAAACACCTTCTCCTTAGGTGTGAGCGTGTGCATGAATGGTTGTTTGTCCTGTTTGTCTCTGTATTGCCCTGCGATGGACAGGCAGATGGGATATAGTGTGATGGAAAATAGATGAATGGATGGATGTTTCTGTTGAGCAAATTTTTATTTTTGTACACACAATATTCTCCTAATTGGAAATGTACCTACAGTGAAGCGACTATAACCCAACAGATGTAAACATCTGTCTAATGTTTGATGCTAGGTGGAAGGGATGCGATTCTGCTGGTCATAAACTTAGAGCAGCATTGTGAGTTTTAGCAAACTCTTGTCAAGGGCCAGTTTAAGGTACCCTGATTAAACTCTGTGGGGAGGCCTGAGAGTGGGAGGGGAAGCTGTGCTTCTGCAGTGCTGCTTGGTGTAGCTGAGACTCAAAACAAATGGCTCCATTCCCCTGGGGGAGGTTTCGGTCTCTATAGCCGGCCGCTGTGTGAATCTCTTTCTGCTTTTTCACGCCGCCAACTGCAACAGGAAGTGGAGTTGATTCTAGTGAAAATGAATATAAGGCTTAAAGAGAAACTTAATCTACAACCAGTGGGCCGGGCATAGATCGATCAGATTTGATCGAGATGTGTATTTAGACACCCTGAAAGTTAAAATTGAGCCCAATCCACCCACAGAGCTGCAGAAACCAAAGAAAACCGTTCAAATAGTTTAATTAAGATGGTTCTTAGCAGAGCTTTTGTAATTTCATGACTGGTTTCGTTTTCAAGCTCCGTTTCATCATGAGTGACCTATATTTATCCACGCTGTGAGTGGCACACAAAGTGTCTGTGTCTTTCACAGGAAATGGGAAACAGGCAAATAAACACACGTATAAGGATAACTTCCCGCATTTACCCCAACCCCCCTCCTTTAACAACCATCTGAGCCTCTTTTTCTTCCCAGAGAAAGCCGACTGCAGATAAGAGGGGCTGCTGTATAATTACTCCCATGTTTTGCTGCGTGTAGACTCACTAGTTTGATGCCTTGGTTTATAGGTCGATGGGGTCATCATCAGACCGAAGCAGCACTCTAAGTGAAGTCACAGACGTCCGCTTCCTTAGTGTGCGCTCTCCATTCCCTAAACAATGTCCCTTTACTCAGCCATGTGGCCTACAATCCTGCTCTCAGACCTGACTGCCTGAGGGAGGGATTATTCACACTGCATCTGCAGGACCATCATGTCAGACATGATCACATGCAGCCGATGTTGCAGTTAATTATTTAAAAAAATGCATATCCAATTTTTTATTTAATTCTATCTCAATTCAAGTGTTTATTGTTTTAATTTAAGCAGATTATTGGGAAACACAGATATGGATAAAAACCACAGCGAGGGCATCAGTTCCAAAGGAAAACGAAATAAAAGGCCTGAATACACCAAACATGATTTGTAGTCCAATCCCTCTGAAGAATGCGTGTGGTCACGATTCTTTGCAGCTGTGCTTGCGATACCCCAACGATACTTTGACGTCAATATAAATGATAAACGATCAATAAGACATTTAAATAAAGAGAATACTTTACCCTTGATTGGAGCTCGGGAGAGCAGAGAACAATATTTATCCTGATTTTAAAAAGAACAAATGTGGAACAACATGAATGCTTAAGAGGGCTTATCGCCATCCTCTCTCTATGAAATTGAAAAAAAAAGAAATTCATATTCAAATTTCTGGAAGAGCACCTGTATCCACATAGGACTTGAAAATATTTAAAATGTTATTATATATAACGTTATAAATTATAACTGGGACATGATATTTCATATACAGTACAGAGTATCATTACAGCATTTCTCACTGACTGATGTTCTGGGTTTTCAGTCGTTTTATTTAATTTTTTTTTTAAATACACTACATATGACAACAAGATCAATATTGATGAGTATGCCATGGCTGTGTCTGCCTACATTAACAAATGCATTGAGGACATTGAGGATCAGCACCACAAAGGCTACGTTCACACCGCAGCCTGAAGTGACCCAAATCCTGCTATGTGGTCCTGAATCCGATACGAATCTGATCTTTTCAAATCCAACCTGTGTGTGAACGGCCCGGTCAGATTTATCCGACCTAAACGTCATTAATACCCGATAAAGGTCACTATTCTGCGTCTTGCTATAAAGAAGCAGCAAGAAAACAACAACCATGGCAGATGATGATGCAAAGAGCAGTATTTATGTTTAACCATATTGAAACGATTTAGTTTTTATGGTTGGAAAAGACCGCTAGATGCGCTCCGGCACTACCATCCATGTTTACTTCTGGGAAAAAAAAAAGAGCATGCTGGCGTGTGACGTCATTGCGTCCTCTACTGCGCATGCGGGACACTTGCGTTGTATCACTGCAGTTCACACAGGAGATCACATACAAGTCACATATATTTGGAAATATGAACGGAAACGGAAAAAAAAATCGGAATTGAGCATCAAGGCCTGCAGTGTGAACGTAGCCAAAGAAAATCACCACCCTGGTCAACCAATGACCCTGGATGAACGGAGAGGTTTGGAAATCGCTAAAAGAAACACGTCTGGTGACAGAGAGGTACTGAGGACAGCTCGTGCCAACTTGAGCCATGCTGTCAGATCAGCGAAGCAGAATCGCAGCCGAAAAATCCAGGATTTCTTCCACGATGCCAGCAACACTAGGAGGATGTGGAAAGGCAAACGGGCAGTAACTGATTACAACACACCCTCCCCCCGGTAGATGCAGCAAACACTGACTTTCTAAATGAACTAAACAACTTCTTTGGAAGATTTGAGGGACTAAAAAGCACTCCAGCAGTGAAAGCCGTTCCACACCAGGGAGAGGAGGCACAGCTGACACAGCTGATGTGTGGAAGACTCTTAGGAGAGTCAACCCAAGAAAGGCCTGGGCCACAATAACATATTGTACCTGGGCGGATGTTCAAGGAGTGTGCAGATCAAGTGGGTGGAGTCCTCACAGACATTTTTAACACCTCACTGGATCAATCCATAGTGCCAGCATGCTTCAAGTCTGCCACAATTATTCCAGTCCCAAAAACGCCTCAGGTCACCTCACTCAATGATTACCAGCCTGTCGCACTGACTCCAATCATGATGAACGCCATCTCTGCTGCTCTTCACCTGAGCCTGGCACACCTGGAGAAAGAACACCCATGTGCGGATGCTGTTCCTGGACTTCAGTTCAGCTTTCATCACCATCATCCCACAGCATCTGATGGGCAAACTGGAACAGCTGGACTTCAATACAACCCTCTAAAATTGACTGTTTGACTTCCTCACCAACTCCTCCTCAGAGAAGACAATGACCAGAAAAGAGAGGAGATGGAGCAGCTGGTGGACTGATGCAGAGAAAGCAGCCTGATTCTGAACATGGAGAGGAGGAAGGAGATCATTGTCGAATTCTGGAAGAACCGGCCTAACCACGCTCCACTGCTCATCAACAGCTTAGCTGTAGAGGTGGTCAGCAGCACCAAATTCCTGGGGCTACAC